AGATAGATAGATAGATAGATAGATAGATAGATAGACAGACAGACAGACAGACAGACAGATGATAGATAGATAGACAGACAGACACACACACAGACAGATAGATAGATAGATAGATAGATAGATAGATAGATAGATAGATAGATAGATAGATAGATAGATAGATAGATAGATAGATAGATAGATAGATAGATAGTATTCACTTCAAAATGTGAAGTTATGTATCATACTTTAATGACATTAAAATCAATTTAAATGTGGAGTGAAAGAAACGAAAATATTTAACAGAAACAGTAGCGCATAGCCTCCAAGCTCCAACCGGAAGCCTTCTCGCACTGAGCGGAAGCGCAGCGGCTCCAGCTGTTATTGTTGACAGACGGAGCTTCGTGGGGAAAATGGCGGTGTCCCGTCGATCCTCACAGCACCAACAAAGCAGCCTGCAGCCGTCTCCGCGGAACGCCGTTATCGCATCCCCCCCACCGGAATCGCCGTCCGCGATTATTCCCGAATCGACGACTTCATTGAGCCCCTCGGCCACTGGCGCAGCGGAATGCTGCGGAGCCACGATGGAGTCCGCAGCGGCCTCCTCCACCTCCTCCGCCTCTTCCCCAGACCGGCCCGCCCCAGCAACAGCAGAGGCCGCGCTCGGCAGCTCCAGCTGCAGCAGCATTAGCTCCGGCGCGACCGCGGGCAGCCAGAGCCCCGGCTCAGGGGCGGCCAGTCCCGGGGACGCAGTGTGCGGGGCCGGCGGGGCGTTCAGAGAGCTGTTCGAGGCCTGTCGGAACGGAGATGTGTCGCGGGTGAAGAGGCTGGTGGACTCGGTGAATGTGAACGCCAAAGACATGGCCGGACGAAAATCAACTCCTCTGCATTTCGCTGCAGGTCTGTATTTATGTATTTGCTAAATATAATCCGTGTTTGTTTATTTTTGACCTTATAAAAGAACAAAACGTCTCCTTTGTGGATTTTGGTTCCACTAGATTTGGAGTTTATTTATACAGGCATGAGATTTTTCAGTGGAGGTATACGAATATATTCGTATATACAGTTTGTTGTTTTCATACAGAAATTATGTATTTTAAGTTGACTGTGTAGTGGTTATGTGTCATGGAATATCATTACATCATGTTTCATTTGGTTCAAATCAACATGAGTAAAATATAATTTTTCATGCGAAGCTTACACGTAATTGTACAGTACTAAATTTCCCTCAAAAACTGTCTGTAAACAATATCTATTCAAACTGTTTACATTTCATACATCATAAATCATAAATCAAATTTAACATGAACATTGTGGACAGGAAAACAAATTAAATGTTGGTGTTATCTAATTAGGGTGTGCTTTTAAAACCTATAATATAATATAAGTCTACATTCTGTGAGTCATATGAGCTGACTAAATCCATTTCTATTTAGGTATATCTGAAGATTTGCTAACCAGGAGTTCAAAGAAAATTAAATAAAGACATTTATAAGCTTAAAAAGTCAAGCATTTTGTCTCCTGCTGTCAATTAAATGGTCGTCATCCCAAATAAGCATTAGCCATGTTCAGTCCTACAGTGTGGACCCTCTGCATAATGAGAGATTTTCAGCATTAGTAAACTTAAACATACAGTCTTCATGATCTCATAATGATTGAGGGACTATATGGATTATTTGCACTTAAAATATGTCTGTCACATTGCAGGACCATGAAATTTAGCTAAGTAATGACAGCTAGCATAACAAGAGGTTTTCAGCATTAGTAATAATAAGCATGCAGTTTTTATGATCTCATATTAATTGAGACTGTATGAATTATTCACACTTTAAAAATGTATCTGTCGCACTGCAGGACCATTTAGATTAGCTAACTAATGACGTAGTTATTAAAGCTGATGTAGAGTGGTGCTTTTTATGACTATCATTAACATTCTGCTAAACATCTTGTTTTGTGTTTAAAGAAGAAAGAAAAAACGAACACTTTCTAAGGTTATTATAGGTGTATAATAACAGTAATTAATTACACTAGGGAACGTGAACGAACAATGAACAATACTTCTGCAGCATTTGTTAACCTTAGTTCATTTGTAAATTTCAGCATTTAAAATTAAACATTGTTCGTGTTAACATTGGTTAATGCACTGAATAAAAGTTTTCCATCTTTTCTGCTATACATGTAAGTGTTTTGATGGCTGACTGTGCTAAAACTGCAGAGCTAGTATGACCACTTTAGGTGGAAAAACAGTGTTGATAATTATACATATCAACCACAACATACAACATTATCAACTTTTAGTATCGGTGACTATTGCTTGCTTCTGTTTCTTACAGTGTTGCTCCAGCACGGCGCTGATCCGAACATCAGAAACACTGACGGCAAATCAGCTCTGGACCTGGCAGACCCTTCTGCTAAGACAGTCCTCACCGGTGAGACATACACACACACACACACACACACACACACACATATATATCTGCTTTACAGTCATTAACAACACACACACACATATATCTGCTTTACAGGCATTAACAACACACACAATCTGATGAGCAGACATGTAAAGGCACACTGAGTATGTTTTTGTAGTATGCAGTATGCCAATACAGACAGAGCATGCTGTGTGAGTGCTGTTTACCACAATGCACTGCACTTTATCTATGAAAAATAAACCTAAGGCCATTTACAGCCACATTTCCATGGTACACTAATTGACAGGACAGCTTCATGTGTAAATATTTGCACACAAAGTTGGATTAAAATGCCAACTCCGTGCCACTCACCAAATTAAATATAGTGAGGTTAATGTAACAGCCTTCTGTTTGAAACGTTGCATCCTGCATACCATTTCACGTACTATTTAAAAGAGGTACTGCATGCTAAGCAGAATGTTAGTATTCCAGTCTGAACACAGCCACACTAAAAATATCCACACACACATTAATGAATCTTGCAAATCAAGCCTGTCTGACTCCTGCTGTCTTTTTTTATTTATCAGGTGAATATAAGAAGGATGAACTGTTGGAGGCAGCGAGGTGAGCTTTTGGCATGCTATAATAATTTAATATCAATGTACTGCTAAAATAAACACTGAAAAAAGTGGTTTTGAGGGGGGTTTGGATGTTTGTTTGAATCCCTCAGCCGCTTGTTTCTTATGCTGGAGTCCTTTGGGAAGAATGTTAGGAAGAATGTGCAGAGCTGTAGGTGCTACACACAACCTGGCATAGTTGTATATTAATGTTTCGAACACTCTGACATCGGAACAGAACGGAAATGTGAGAATAGACATTTTTGCCACTTGGTATATAAATGTGTATTGAACAGGGGAAGTATTTTATAAAGTAAATGTAAGAATAACTTTTATACTGTTAGTAATATTTTAAGATGAACACTTACTGGACTGAACCAACGTAGGTTTACTTGATTATCCATACATCAATTTTTGGAAAAATCATGTTAAGATGTGAGTACCAATTTAGACTTTTGAGTAATGTTTATTTGTTCATCTCTCAATCTTCTTAGTAATTGCATTGCATTGTTTTGCCTCATAATACAAACTACAAAGCTTGGAACATAAAACAAAAAATTTAAGTATCATCTTACAAAGACATATTATTGGAAGATACAGAGTGACGACTGATATTTATATGCGTTTTATGTAAGCTATCTTCTATATTGTTATGAAGATCTCATTGATTTACATTGCAGAATTTCATCTTATTTTTTGGCCATATAAATATCTGCAACTGCACCAAATTATATATTTTTGATACCTTTGCGCCTCTGAAAAAAATTCTGAAATGAGTAGCAGTATAGTCCAATAGGGCTGTCAAATGTTTTTTTGAATTTCAAATATTTGTAGAATTAAAAAAAAATCCACATTCGAATGCAAAAACGTTGCATTAGAATTTTAGGTCTGCATCAGCCGTCAGGCAGCCTTAATCAGTGGCGCACGAAATGCGACGACAATGTAAGTGTCATTGCATTTTAATGCTTTTGTTAGCCTATCCAGTTGAACCCACTAGATGCGGCGCTGCTACGTTGTTCATTCAATATATAGCAGAAAACGAGAGCATCAGTGTGTCGAATAAGTTGTTTACGGCGAAACTGAAACCAAGCCGTTCACACAGAATGCATATTTATCACATTTTCTAGCGGGACATCTATCAGCATTGCACTCGCATCTCGCACAAGAGAGCGCATGTTTAGAAAGCCATGTAAAATTAATGTAAGTTCAACTTTTAAAAAAACATGTCTAAAGACGTTATGGCGGTTTTTCCCCATCCCACTGCATCTCATGTTTTTAAATGAAGAAAGTAGCCTACTCTTTGTTATTGGTTTTCGGTCCTTTGTATTAAACTATACATACATGCATGGTCCTGTTTTTTTTCTAATTGTTTAAGCAACTTTATTGATTATATTTGGTTTATAAACATAATTTTAAACATTATGCACTTTTTTTCAAAGATAGTCGTGTTATTTTATTACACTTTGAAGAAACGTGCATAATATTTTGCTCGATACGCCCTCTTGTGGCCTCAGGAGAGAAGCCAAAAGCTTTTTTTCCCCCTAACTGAAATTATGCCTTTTAAATTAGAATATAATTCGAATTTTGATCATATTTAAGTGGAAAATTTGAATTTAGTTTTTCAGTCATTTTGACAGCCCTATAGTCCAATATAATTGCCACTGCACCATCCTTTAATAGCTGCTCACAAAACAGTCCCATGTATTGCTGCTAGCAATAGAGTAAAAAGGAACGTTTTATATTGAAACTTACATTAACTTTACATTGTGCATTGAACTCTTTTATTTTAAAAGATATTGCTGTTTTTTTTTTGAAAATGAAGTTTTTATTGGTTTTCTTTATACATAACAAAACATACCAGTACAAAAATAAATAAATACACTGTATACAAAACAAATCAAATGAAAGTAATTATCATAAATAATAATAATTATAGAAATGACACTTAAATGCACACTGATACTAGATCCATGCCTGAAGTAACAATCTGAATAAAATTCTCCCACATGTCAACATCCATGTGATTTCCATTCACTTTAGCTAACATTTTTTCATATGATACATTCTCTATCATAGATTCAATCCACATTTTAAGTGAAGGACATTGAATATCTTTCCAAAATCTAAGTATCAGTCATACTGCCGTGATTACACCGACAGTAACCAGGGAAAAATCGTTTTTTTGAATCTGAGGAATCTCCGATTTATCTCCTAAAAGACAAATCCTTGATGAAAATGGAAGGTTAAATCCCGAACATCTTTCAAGATATTTCAACACAATTTCCCAAAAAGGTCGAATCTTTGAACATTGCCAGAGAGCATGAATTTATGTGCCAGTTTCTTGTTTACATTTCCAGCATTTATTATCAATCAGACAACCCATTCTAAAAAGCTGCACTGGTGTATAATAATACCTATGTAATACCTTATATTGGATAAATTTACCTCTTGCTTCCTTTATTTACCTTCCACTGTAGGACAAAATTCTGTTCCAAGTGTCCTTATCTATGTCACTTGCTGTTTCTTTTTTTGACTTAATGTCACTCTTCCAGAAATGTCTTTTCTCTAAGTTGCCGTTCCTAACAGTGTTTGTCTTCCTCTTTTTTTGAAAACCTTAGGAGCGGAAATGAGGAAAAGTTGATGGCACTTTTGACCCCACTTAACGTCAACTGTCACGCCAGCGATGGGCGCAAGGTAACACAGATCAGAATTACTTCATCCAGCTCCTCCTCCTCCTCCTCCACCTCCTCTCCCAGGCCCCGCTGTGGATATATCTGCCCCTATGCCCCCTCCACCACCCCCCATGGCTCCTCCACTTCCAGGCTGCGGATCTCCCACCGTCATCATGAACTCAGGACTGGCAGGTAATGAAACCTGCTCGATACTAAAGACAAAACCATAACAGTCATGCACAAACTATGATACAGTATACCAAAACAGTGACATGAGAGGAGGAGAATCCCACTGATTTAGACCCAGATATGCCGCAAGCTTCTTAAGAAGCCTGAAGTATACATTAGTTTGTGTTTAAAGTTCAGGCATCAGTTGAGAACGGCTGCGGGTCTCTGGAGCCGCTGTCACACTGTCTCCTCTCACTGATCGCTGATAACAATCCTCACAGCTCAAGCAGTTTGTTAGGCTTCCTGTAAAAGGTTTAATGTCTGAACAAGCTCAAGTGAATCACTTCTGTTCTGCCGAAGCGCGAGTCATAATCTCTTTGACTGTACAGTATATCAGATAAAAAATAAAAAAAAAACATCAGATGAAAAATAAATGGTAATTTTCTTAATCTGATTTCATCTTTGTACAGTTTGCGTAAAGTTTTGTATTGATTTGAATGGAGCAAACATGGATGTCCATTAGACAAGAAGTAATAATTAGTGTTAGAAATAGATGGAGGCTCTCTGCAGACACTAGAATATTACAGAAACGTGCACATAAAAACATTTGGAAACTTCTATGCAAATTCTCAAATCTTGCAAGATTTACACTACCTTTGAAATAATTTCATAATATTCATTAAGTCTCTAATGCTCACCAAGGCTGTATCTATTTAATAAAAATACAGTAAAAAATAGTATTAATGTAAAAAAAAAACTCTGAAAATGTTAAATAACATTTTTATATATTTTTGAAAATGAAGTTTTTATTGGTTTTCTTTATACATAAAACATACCAGTACAAAATTTTTTTTTGTAAATTTAAAAAAATAAATAAATACACTGTATACAAAACAAAACAAACAAAAGTAATTATCATAAATAATAATAATAATAATTATTATTATAGAAATTACACTTAAATGCACAACAGGGTAATCAAGTCGACACTTAAATGCACACTGATACTAGATCCATGCCTGAAGTAACAATCTGAATAAAATTCTCCCACATGTCAACATCCATGTGATTTCCATTCACTTTAGCTAACATTTTTTCATATGATACATTCTCTATCATAGATTCAATCCACATTTTAAGTGAAGGACATTGAATATCTTTCCAAAATCTAAGTATCAGTCATACTGCCGTGATTACACCGACAGTAACCAGGGAAAAATCGTTTTTTTGAATCTGAGGAATCTCCGATTTATCTCCTAAAAGACAAATCCTTGATGAAAATGGAAGGTTAAATCCCGAACATCTTTCAAGATATTTCAACACAATTTCCCAAAAAGGTCGAATCTTTGAACATTGCCAGAGAGCATGAATTTATGTGCCAGTTTCTTGTTTACATTTCCAGCATTTATTATCAATCAGACAACCCATTCTAAAAAGCTGCACTGGTGTATAATAATACCTATGTAATACCTTATATTGGATAAATTTACCTCTTGCTTCCTTTATGTACCTTCCACTGTAGGACAAAATTCTGTTCCAAGTGTCCTTATCTATGTCACTTGCTGTTTCTTTTTTTGACTTAATGTCACTCTTCCAGAAATGTCTTTTCTCTAAGTTGCCGTTCCTAACAGTGTTTGTCTTCCTCTTTTTTTGAAAACCATACTAGCTACGCAAGCTAAATTACATGTCCCATTGCCATGTGTGGGGCATTATAGTGCTTGTTATATGTAAAAGGCATTAGATGATCATGCATGCAATACCTGTAGAATTTTCCTGAAAAAGAACTTTGGTTCCTTTGAGAAAGTTCTTGCCAATGATAAAGACTTCCTCTCCTCCTGCGACAGAGCCACTGTGAAGACTCTTCTTAAGGATTTCAGGCACTCCAGCTGGTTGAGCTGAAAATGTGACAAGGAATAAGTCACAAATGTGGAAATTGATCAAAAGTGACAGTAAAGATATTTATAATGTTACAAAAGATTTCTATTTCAAATAAATTCTGTTATTTGCAACTTTATATTCATCAAAGTGAAGGATAACACAATGTATCCACAAAAATATTAAGCGGCACAACTTTTTCAATGCTGATAATAATAAAAAAGGTTTATTGAGCAGCAAATACTAGAATGAATCATGAAGGATCATGTGACATTGAAGCCTGAAAGATGTGAAAAATATAGCATGCATCACTGTAATAATTGACATTTTGAAATATATTCAAATACAAAATAGTTACTTTAAGTTGTAATAATATTTCTTTTTTTACTGCATTTTTGATCAAATACTTGCAGCTGTGGTGAGTGTAAAAGACATAAAAAAATCTCACAGACTTTTGAACGGTAATTTATTAGTGTTATATTGGCCATTTAAAATGTCAAATCGGCATTTATCATCCTGTGTCTTTCACAGAAATAAAGTAGCTATAGATTTTTTTTTTAGTATTTTAAGATAGGATGCTGTAGCTGTTGAATTATTAGGCTTTAAGCACCACAGTCGGCTTTGATGGATAATATGTTAGTTAATAGCTAATTTTTTGTTTTGTTTTGTTTTTTGTTCTGGCGACATTCAGTCAACATCTCAAAAAATGCTGGTAAGTTTATTTTGTGAAACAGAAATTAGTTTTATTTGGTCTTCTGTGATTTTATTATTTATTTTTCCTTTCAATTTTTGTCCCTAAAAAAATCCATCCATACGCTGGTTCACACTTAAAACGCACAGAAACCTGCCTTATTTTCTGCTGGTCACAATCCATCAATCAACCAATAGCTCGGCTAACGTTTTGTTGACTCCTGCAGGTTCTGAAAACAAGGCTTTCATTTGCCTCTTTCTTTAAAGTCTTTATTTAACTTTTTTTACAATACTTCTCTAAATTGTCTGCCTTTGCAAGAACTCCACCATGTTTCCACCCCTAAACCCCACCTCTGCATCCATGCATCGCCTCACGTTCTTCAATCCGTTTGTTTGATTTGTTGTGATCAGCACGCATGCTCTCCACGAACGTGGTGATTTCTCTTTGACATCCTGTCCTGTTTAGATCCATTGTGTGTATGCTAGAAGCGTTGCACTGTTGCCCATTGCCTGTGCCGTACTACTTCAGACCTCATAATAGTGACATGAATGTTGCCTTTCCATCCTGCACTGAATAATAGAATTCTCTCAGACAATGCATCATTCTTTTGAGGCAGATCTTCATTACTAAATGGCTGCGTTGAGATTGGTTGTCGTGCTGATTGTTTTGCTGTGGTTGTGTTCAGACTGTCATATAGGCATGTCACCATTATTTCTTCATTTTCACTGCATGAACTGGGAACGAATTTGTAACTTAGGCTATTTTAAGTTACTAGTGGTTTGAGTCACTTATCTCTTCTAAAGTGATCGAGCTCAAGCCAGATTCATCAGTTGTTCAGAGAGATCGCAGATATTAAGGCCTACTTGCACCAAGAGGCAATAGTTGTCAACAGTGACCATTTTTAATGTTTCGAGAAAGTTTCCCATTTTCTCCAAATAAATTTCAATGAATGTTTCAATAAAGAATTTGAAGCCGAAAACCAAACCAACCACTCTTACAGGAGCATTACAAACTTGCTGGTCTGTGCACTTGAAGCAATGCAAATGATGTAATTTAATTAAAAATGATGGTACAGTATAAACCTGTTGGCTTTGTGTAAAACCAATAGGCTACGTTTTTAATGCAAAATATAATTGGAAACAGACTTTTATGTCATTTGCAATGCTTTATGGGAGTTTGTGGTTGGCGCTGAGCTCTTTTGCATCTATTTCTGATTCCTTGGTACCATTGATTTTCTCTGATTGGTGGGTCTGTCTTAAGGATTATGGGTAGAGACACTGACTTTTTCACCTTTTTAAGGCATGTGAAACAAATGTTGAGAAGCTATAAAAGAACTGATGGCATTAAAATCTTAAAAAATGAGGAAAGAAAGCAACTAACTAAACAAGTATGACATACTGAATATCATTTATACAACACTTCCGAATAAGTAGGCTGAAAGTCTTATTTAAATGTATAATAAATTCAATACAACTAAAACATCCTATATATTAAAGGGATAGTTCACCCAAAAATGAAAATGTGATGTTTATCTGCTTACCCCCAGGGCATCCAAGATGTAGGTGACTTTGTTTCTTCAGTAGAACACAAACAAAGATTTTTAACACAAACCGTTGCAGTCTGTCAGTCCTATAATGTTAGTGGATGGGAATCACGGCTTTGAGAGTCATAAAACATACACAAACAAAACCAAATTAAACCCTACGGCTCATGATGATACATTGGTGTGAAAAGACACAAAACTATCGGTCTGTGCAAGAAACTGAACAGTATTTATATGGGGTTTTTTTTACCTCTGATTTTCACCGCAATGTCTGAACTGCCCTGAGCACGTTCGCGTCTTCTTCAGCCTGCGCGTGACGCGTCTTCTTCTTCTTCTTCTTGCTTTACGGCGGATTGCAGACTTATGAGTGCATTACCGCCACCTATCTCTCAAATGGACCATTGACACTCCCAATTGAGATTATAGATAGTGTCAATGGTCCATTTGAGAGATAGGTGGTGGTAATGCACTTATAAGTCTGCTATCCTTTGTAAAGCAAGAAGAAGAAGAAGAAGATGTGAACGTGCTCAGGACAGTTCAGACATTGCGGTGAAAATCAGAGGTAAAAAACGATATAAATACTGTTCAGTTTCTTGCACAGACCGATCGTTTCGTGTCTTTACACATCAATGTATCATCACGAGCCGCAGAGTTTAATTTGGTTTTGTTTGTGTATGTTTTTTTGTCTCAAAGCCATGATTCCCATCCACTGACATTATATAACTGACAGACTGCAACGGTTTGAGTTAAAACTCTCTGGATGCCCTGGGGGTAAGCAGATAAACATAAAATTTTCATTTTTGAGTGAACTATCCCTTTAACTGTACATGTGGAAAAAGTCAAATACACCTTTCTTCTGTAATTTGTTCCATTTTTGCTTTTTTTGGTGTGAGTAGGCCTTTACATGTTCTTTACGATGTTTATTTAAGTCCATATATTTGTAATTATTGTGGATGCTAGAACAGGTACCACTTCATTTGTATCACAAAAACCTCAAGAACGTAGTTTCAAAAGCGAAATACATTACACAGAACAGCTCACTGCATAAAAAGTTAGCCATTGTAGTGATTAAACTAATGATGGGATGGGTTACAAGCAGGTTTACATAATTATTCGAGGTTGGGTTTTTGCAACAAGCACTTGTATTATTGATGATCACTTGATTGTATTCAGACAGGTTATTAATATTTCTCTGGTTCTTTTGCAGTCCACTCCTCTTCACCTGGCTGCTGGGTATAATCGAGTGCGTATAGTGCAGCTGCTGCTGCAGTATGGTGCTGATGTCCATGCCAAAGACAAAGGGTGAGGAATATCTACGACTTACTGTCTCTCTTTAACATTTAGTGTCCAGTATGTAAGTCAACATGGAATGCTTCTATTAATTGCTATTTTTACTTCCATAATGTAATACGAGTGAAAAATTATATTCTAAGTAAATGTATAGCATGCATATATTGTGATCAATTCAAATTGTTTTATATTGTGCTATACTAGTGGTTTTCAAACCCTGACTTGCGACCCACCCAATGGGTCACCAGGATGATTTAAGGAAAATGTAAATATGTATTTAACAAAGTTTAAGACTCCGGGAAGAAGGAGGTGGGAACCGGCAAATGTAACTTCTTAAAACAAATAAACATATACAACAAAATGAAAGTAAGTGGCAGCCACCTCACAACATACTCCAGTGCGTATCTGTCTCTCCGTGTTTATTTTTTTCAGTCCTGAATTCTGCAAGCTTATCCTCTGAATATAACAAACAAAGTCTAGACACGATGTAAATAAAATATTTCTTGTGCAGTGTAGAGAGATTCATTGAATATAACGGAATTTTCTGATAATGCGATAAACTGTAATGAGTGACAGTTCAGTGATTTTTAAGGGAGCGCTATTTGCGTGCTTGTGCATAATCCATTCAGCATATGAATAAAAGTTAAAGAAATAAAGAAAAATTTTATTTGATCAAAATACAGTAAAAACTGTAATATTGTGAATTATTATTGCAAATTAAAATAGTTAATTAACTAAAATAAACTGTATTTAAATATATTTTCAAATGTAATTTATTCCTGAGATGCAAAGCTGAATTTTAAGCATCATTACTCCAGTCTTCAGTGTCACATGATCCTTCAGAAATCATTCTAATATGCTGATTTGCTGCTTAAGAAACATTTCTTATAATTATCAGTGTTGAAAACAGTTGTGCTGCTTCATATTCTTGATCTTCTTACTAAACCCAAAGTTCCCTTTATAATAAAACTTTGTGTGTGTGTTTAGGTGAACGCTGTGGACACACTGGGACAGACAGCCCTGCACAGGGCGGCCCTCGCCGGTCACATCCAGACTTGCAGACAATTGCTGAGTTACGGAGCCGACCCGTCAATCGTTTCACTGCAGGGCTTCACTGCGTCACAGATGGGCAATGAAGCCGTACAGCAAATACTCAATGGTACTATTACAGTATCACATCTATTACTCTGAGTCTTATTACAGTATGATTAATGAATTAACTGTCCATTTATCCTAACAGCACGATGTCCTGAATTTATGATTTTTCTGCATTTATTTCTCCAGAGAACATTCCTCCTCGTAATTCGGATGTGGATTACCGCTTCCTTGAGGCTGCTAAAGCCGGAGACCTTGATACAGTGAAGGTAAATAACCGTTTCAGAGTTTACCAAGTTTAAAGGTGGGGTAAGTGATTTTTCAAAAACGCTTTAGAAAACTGATTCGGGCCGACTAGCAAAACAAACTTGTAGCCAATCAGCAGTAGGCGAAGTGTCAACTCATGATGTGGAGGAGAGAGCGTTCAGTGCACAGGACGGACATTAGCCGTGCCGAGTGAAAGAACGAAAGATAGAGATGGCGGATAAAAAACAAAAGAGGAAAACGTCTGTGGAATAAAACAAGGCTTAAGGAAAGAAGTAGGACCCGTGTAAATATCGGATCAGCTTTCCAGCGCTGGAGAGAACTCAATGTGGAAGGCCTGCGATCGGACGCCGAGGTTGCTTTGTTTCTTCTCGATAGGTGAGTAACACCGTGTCTGCGCCGCAACAGCTAAAGTCTGTCTAGTACACTGGACGCGACAAAGCGACCGTTGAAAATCATTTGAAATTTATGTCAATACATCATAAATAGAAGGCAGCAGCAGTTTCTGTCGGGGATTTGTCATGTCACGCCGCATCCAGTGTAGACCATAGATATGTATATATATCTATGGTGTAGACAGCATCACCGATTATAATGAGTTCCATAGTATTTTGTCGCGCCGCGCCAGTCGCGTCCGGTGTAAACATGGTGTAACATTGGTTTTGCTTTGTTTCACAGAACTAATCGTTGCCTGGGTTGCGTACGTATGTGTGGGGCGGAGCTATCAAAATTGGGGCGAGACCCTTTTGGGGTAGGGGCGTGTTTGTTTTGGTGATTTCAAATGTCAACATTGGATACCAGAAATCGCTTACCCCACCTTTAAAGTCAGCATGGTCCAAATCTATTTCACTTTTGCAATGTGACATAAAATTAGACATTTAATGATGATATGGGACTTAATCTGTTCTAAAGATTTCAAATCAGGAAATCAATAAATATTTATTCATTTGATGCCAGTTTGTTTGTGTATCTTCCATAGCAACTGTGCTCCCCTCAAAATGTGAACTGTCGTGACCTGGAGGGCCGCCACTCAACCCCGCTGCATTTTGCTGCAGGCTACAACCGTGTGGCTGTGGTGGAATACCTGTTGCATCATGGGGCCGACGTGCACGCTAAAGATAAAGGGTACTATCATCTTCATTGGAAGTTGCGTGACTATCGTTGCACTGTCTGAATTGTCTGATTTTCACTTGTTCTCTTTCTTTGTCAGTGGTCTGGTTCCTTTGCACAACGCGTGTTCGTATGGTCACTACGAGGTGGCAGAGTTACTGGTGAGACATGGAGCGTCTGTGAATGTGGCGGACCTTTGGAAGTTCACACCACTACATGAAGCTGCAGCCAAGGGCAAATATGAGATCTGCAAACTGCTGCTCAAGGTTTGATACATCAGATGGAGAAATCATGCACATGTTGGCATAATTATGAATGTCATGATTGTGTGGGAATTTCATATAATATGAATGATGTTTGGTGTTATCACAAGTTATAATTATGCTATGATCATTTATTAATGCACCAAAATTTAGATTATTTTTCAAAATTGTTGATACATTGGGCTAAAATCCAAAAGTAAAGTGTGAAACTTTTTGGACTTTATAAATTCTATAAATATTGTACTATTTTAATGTATTATAAATGTATGTATATATGTATGTATATATATATATATATATATATATATATATATATATATATATATATATATATATATATATATATATTATTTATTATTATTGTGGTCACTGATGTTCAAATAAAACAGTGACCTAAAAGTAATTCTAAATAATAATTATAACTGAGTTTGAGATTTAAATATTGAGATTTATTGAGACTTTTTTTTTTAAATTCCAGTTAACAATTGTGGAAACTTTTGGAACATATACATTTGTTAAATATTTTTATGTGAATATTTAAATATCTAAAAAATATTAATTAATATCATATTAATATAATATTCAATTATTTAAATGTATTGTTATTATTAATATCCAAAACAAACAGTGACCTTAAAATAACAAATAATATTTAGATTTTTCAGCTGCCAAATTTTAGCCCAAAACAGTGTATTCCTAAATCTAATTTTTGCAGCCTTAAATGTAATTAATGTAGGATTAATGATTATTATTAAGCGTGTAACACAGCCCTTTTGCAGTAACATCTCTACTCTCTATTTAGCACGGTGCAGACCCGTCTAAGAAGAACCGTGATGGCAATACGGCTCTGGACATGGTGAAGGACGGAGACACAGACATCCAGGACCTTCTGCGCGGAGATGCCGCCCTGCTGGATGCCGCTAAGAAGGGCTGTTTGGCCCGTGTGCAGAAACTCTGCAGCCCTGAGAATATCAACTGCAGAGACACACAGGGCAGGAACTCCACACCACTGCACCTTGCAGGTAACTTACCATAAGCCATATTCTCACATTCAACATGCATTTATCTTATCTCTCTGGTGGTTTAATGATGAATTCATTCATTTTTGATCAGCTGGTTACAATAACCTGGAGGTGGCCGAGTATCTCCTGGAGCACGGAGCGGACGTGAATGCTCAGGATAAAGGAGGACTAATCCCTCTGCATAACGCTGCTTCATATGGGGTGAGAAAACAGGGGATGAGGAAAGGTCAGAGGTCTTAGGCCATGTCCACACGTACACGGGTATTTTTATAAATTGAGTTTTTCCTTCTTCCGTTTAAAAAAAAATCTCCGTCCACATGAAAATGCAAACGCATGCTATGACGCACTGTCAAGAGCATGCCTAACCAACAGGTGGCGATATAATCTCAACCGTAAAACCATGTTGGCCAATCAGAAGCCTGAAAAAGTTTCCAGTAGGCGGAGATAACAGTGCAGGCTCAGACGTCACAAGCCAAAAACTCCGGTTTCGCTGTCTACACAATAACACTGCAACCGGAGTTTTTGAAAATCTTCACCCTGGCAGGAGTTTTTAAAAATGTTCGGTTTCACTGAACTGGTGCTGTGTTTGCGTGTGGACGAACGGCCAAACCGCGTAGAAAAAGCTGCGGTTTTAAAAATAACCGCGTTCATGTGGACAGGGCCTTAGTATGGATAAATGTCTTTATCTGTGAAGGATGGGTTTTGTATTATTGTTGTACCAAACCTGCATTTATTTGATCAAACATCCAGTAATATTATGAAATATTATTACAATTTAAAATAACTGTTTACTATTTGAATATATTTTCAAATGTAACTTATTCTTGTGATATAACTGGCAAAGCAAATGCACATATTCTCAAAATGGCTAAATATTTGGTGATTGGACTGTCTAGCAATAGTGCATGAACTTGTACTAATAATAAACAGCAATATTATAGCATAATGTGTAACTGCTGTCTCTGTTCTGTCCAGCATGTGGATATCGCCGCCCTCCTGATCAAGTTTAACACGTGCGTGAACGCGACCGATAAGTGGGCGTTCACACCGCTGCATGAAGCTGCGCAGAAGGGCCGCACACAGCTGTGTGCACTGCTGCTGGCGCACGGCGCTGACCCCACCATGAAGAACCAGGAGGGACAGACGGCTCTGGACCTGGCCACGGTAAACACCACTACAGCAGCTGATAATACTGTAATTGAGAGAAGATACAAGTTGACTTCAGTTGAACCCTGTAAAGCCTGACGTATGAAATAAGTCAAAAAACTGGAAAACTTTTTATTGAACTTTAAAAAAAAAAAAAAAATCAAAATGTTTTTTTTTTTTCTTTCTTGAAAATCAAATTTGATTTTATGGTGACTGTAGTATGTAATTCATTGCTATTCATCTGCTCTCTGTGTCTGTCAGGCTGATGATATCCGTGCGCTGCTGATGGACGCCATGCCCCCTGATGCCCTGCCCAGCTGTTTCAAACCACAGGCCACCGTGCTCAGCGCCGCTCTCATATCACCCGCCTCCACACCCTCATGCCTCTCTGCTGCCTCCAGCATCGATAACCTGGCCGGGCCCCTCAGTGACGGGGCCTGTGGAGGGGCTACAGGACCCGCTGATGGGGCCTCCGGAACTGAGCGCAAGGAAGGAGATGGTGAGAAACAGAAGAACCGTCTCAGATGCATTTGTTTATGAATCAGAATGATACTGACACTGATTGTGGTGTATAGCTTTGATTAATTTAAAAGAACTGGTTCATAAGAATCATTTGTTTGGGAGTCAGACTGCAACTGATCGTGGTGTATAGCTTTGATTCACTTTAAAAGAACATTCTTATGGGAGGAATTTGTTTGGCAATCAGACTATACTGATTGAGGTGAATGATTTTGATTCAGAACTGCCTGATAAGAGTCATTTGTTCAGGAATCAGGCTACATGGATTGATTCACTAAAGAACAGTCTAATATGAGTCATTTGTTTGGGAATCAGACTACACTGATCACACTATGATTTTGATTCCCTAAAAAGAGCTGCCTCATAAACGTAATTTTTTTCAGGAATCAGATTACACTAAACATGCCGTATGAATTTGATTCACTAAAAATAACCACATCATTTGTTCTGGAATCAGACTACACTGATTGTGCTGTATGAATTTGTTTCACTAAAAGGAAGTACCTCATAAGAGTCATTTGTTTGGGAATCAGACTACACTGATTTTTTTCCAACTATTTAACGTGATGTTCTTTTCAGTTGTTATCTTGTCCAGCATATTTTTATGATTCTTAATTTGCTAAAATTGTTGTGTTTTTTTTGCCCTGTAGCTGTCTTGGATATGAACATCTCACAATTCCTGAAGAGTCTGGGGCTTGAACATTTGAGGGACATCTTCGAGAGCGAACAGGTGAGAAAAACAGAGACAACTTTGTCAGAGACCTCTTCCGTTTCAAGATTTCCTCATGTTTTTAATGCCGTGTCCATTAGATCACTCTGGACGTGTTGGCCGATATGGGTCACGAGGAACTCAAGGAGATCGGCATCAATGCTTACGGACACCGTCATAAACTCATCAAAGGCATCGAGAGGCTGCTAGGAGGACAGCAGGGTGAGTGGCTATCTCATAAAACTGCTCCTAAATGCTGCTCCTGCTTGAATCGGTGTGTTTTTATTACATTTAAATCGTGTTATCTGTACGCACAGGTGCCAACCCATACCTGACGTTCCACTGCACCAATCAGGGCACAGTTTTGATCGACCTGGCCGTGGATGATAAAGAGTTTCAGTCTGTTGAGGAAGAGGTACAAACAAAAACACTTGGAGCTCTGGGCTGTTACATACACCCGTCTGCTTCAGCTGTGTGTGATTGTTGGTTTTTTTTGGTCACAGATGCAAAGCACAATTCGGGAGCACAGGGACGGAGGAAATGCAGGTGGCGTTTTCAATCGATACAATGTCATCAAGGTAAAACACACCAAATGCATTCAACATTAGTGATATTTAACTCTTCTAAAATAGGTATTGATGTCCAAAAAAGGTTTGGTCACGAGGAACTCAAGGAGATCGGCATCAATGCTTACGGACACCGTCATAAACTCATCAAAGGCATCGAGAGGCTGCTGGGAGGACAGCAAGGTGAATGTCTCTCTCATAAAACTGCTCCTAAATGCTGCTCCTGCTTGAATCGGTGTGTTTTTATTACATTTAAATCGTGTTATCTGTACGCACAGGTGCCAACCCATACCTGACGTTCCACTGCACCAATCAGGGCACAGTTTTGATCGACCTGGCCGTGGATGATAAAGAGTTTCAGTCTGTTGAGGAAGAGGTACAAACAAAAACACTTGGAGCTCTGGGCTGTTACATACACCCGTCTGCTTCAGCTGTGTGTGATTGTTGGTTTTTTTTGGTCACAGATGCAAAGCACAATTCGGGAGCACAGGGACGGAGGAAATGCAGGTGGCGTTTTCAATCGATACAATGTCATCAAGGTAAAACACACCAAATGCATTCAACATTAGTGATATTTAACTCTTCTAAAAGAGGTATTGATGTCCAAAAAAGGTTTACATAAACATACTGTAGGATCACGTTGTTTTGATAGATGTGGGTAAATGATCTAGCTTCATAATTGATATCGTAAATACCTGTTCTACTCTTGAGCAAAATCTAAGAGAAATTGTCCTGTAGATCCAGAAGGTGGTGAATAAGAAACTGAGAGAGCGATACACACACAGGCAGAAAGAGATCGCAGACGAGAATCACAACCACCACAATGAACGAATGCTGTTTCATGGTAAGCGATCTGATGCTTCTCTTCTTAACATAATGACTTGACAAGAAACTAAGAATCTTTTTTGCGTTATTCTATGATTTAATTGTTTGCCACAATGTAATTTTTTCATCTTAATTTTGAAAGAATTCAAAAATTGATCAAAAGTGGCAGTAAAGACTTTTATAACATTTTTGTTTCAACAAAATGCTGTTCCTTTGAACTTTATTTCTAAAAAGAAGCCTGAAAATGTATCATGGTTTCTATAAAAATATTAACCAGCACAACTGTTTTGAACATTGATAATAAGAAATGTTTATTGTGCTGCAAATCAGCATATTAGAATGATTTCTGAAGGATCATGTAACTCTGAAGAGTGGAGTAATGATGCTGAAAATACAGCTTTGATCACAGGAATAAATTACATTTGAAAATATATTCAAATAGGAAACTGTTACTTTAAATTGTAAAAATATTTCACAATATTACAGTTTTTATTGTATTTTTGATCAAATAATTGCAATCTTGGTGAACATACAAGAAATACAGGAATGCTTAAAATGCTTATTTTTCATAGGGTGTATTCACACCCGTCTTGTTTGGTTCGATTGAATCAAACTCAAGTTCGTTTTCCCCTCTTGGTGCGGACCTTTTTGGCAGGTGTGAATACAGCAATCGCACTTGGGTGCGGACCAAACAAGCGTACCGAGACCCAGCTGAAGAGGTGGTCTCGGTCTGCTTCCAAACGAACTCTGGTACAGTTCGTTTAAGGCAGGGGTGGCGAACGTCGGTCCTGGAGAGCCGCAGCCCTGCAGAGTTTTGCTTCAACCCTAATCAAACACACCTGAACGAGCTAATCAAGGTCTGAACGGTTACTAGGAAGCTACAGGCAGGTGTTTCAATTAGGGTTGGAGCTGAACTCTGCAGGGCTGCGGCTCTCCAGGACCGGAGTTTGCCACCCCTGGTTTAAGGTGTGAATATGACCTGACCTCGATCCGACCCAATTGCAGAAATCACGCTCGGAAACAGACAGCTAGCGCATATAGTGCTGTTATTTGCGTTTCAATGGCTTAAATCACTTGTTTTAAAACTACAATGCTTAAAAACAGATGCAAATGGTGAGTTTTTGTGACAATGGCACACAGCAACGTGACGTGAGCACGCTAAATAGGCTAAAGCTTGCCGCAAAAATGACCATGACTATGTTAGGGGAAAATAGTAAGGAGATATTTGAATTATTTATTAATAAACTAGTGTTTTATGAGTGAGTGTCGCAAAGATGAAGTTGATAATCCTGACTCGCCATCTCATCATTGGACGCGCCTTTAGAAAGAAATGCATCTTTACGGATTACATAATAATAAGAGTTTTTGTATTGGATTTGAATTATTTAGTTTTGTAGTCATTTAAAGCTTTCTATAGATATATTCATCATGTCTGTAAGGAAAATGTTCGCTGAGTTTCGGTTCATTTTTGTGAAGCGCTCCTGTTCAAGACCCGTGACGGCAAGCACATCCTATTTGTTTTTTTTTACAAAAGCACAACGTTTTCTTGATATTGTGAGTGCACACAAATGAAAATAGACCCTTTACAGTTCCGAACGATTCATTATTCTTACATTTATGAGCAAAAATGATGGCGTATTTAATTTGTTTCCACTGATGTCCTGAAGCGCGCTTCAGCTTCCACTCTCCACACAAACGATTGGATATGCACCTAATAGTACATTTATATAGGTTAAATGTTTAAACTAACATTGTGATGTGCTTTAAGTATTTTATATCTATAGATTTTATTTTCGGCAATTCATAATTACAACATCGTATGACATTGTCTCATATGATGCTCATAAGTTTCTTCATATTGCGTTAGTATCTGATAACACCAAATCAGTAAAAAAATTTAAATTGCACTACGAAAGATCTCCATGATTAGCCTGTTTTTGCACGTCCTGTTCTTCCCTGCTTGAGAATTTCTGTCCAATGAATGGATGACCTTAGCACACGTGTGGTGTTGTTTACAATTTCTGGTTCACTTGCAAAAAGGGCAGTGTGAAAGCGAACCGCACCAAACTAAAAAAAATCAACATTGTATTTGGTCAGGACCAAAGCAAGTGAACTAGCGGACTTTCCTGATGTGAATACACCCATAATTTAGCTTTATTTAAGCTGTTAGTTTTAGTTTTCGTCCCACAACCCACAAACTGTAGCATCTGCTTACACAAATTATGCATCATGATTAATACCACATGACCTTCAAAGTTTTATTAATGAAATGCACAACAACACGACACATTGCTGCACTTTTTGGTCAATTAAGTGTGCTATAAATGTGCCATTGTTGCTGTATTTAGCTTTGAATAGAATTTAGTTTTGTTCATACTGTAGTTTTTGTTTAATTTTAATAGTTTTCATGATCATAATCCTAAACCTTTTTTTGCAATTGTTATTTTTTTTCAGGATCTCCATTCATAAATGCCATCATCCATAAAGGATTTGATGAGCGCCATGCGTATATCGGTGGCATGTTTGGAGCTGGCATATATTTTGCAGAGAACTCCTCTAAGAGTAACCAGTACGTCTATGGCATCGGTGGCGGCACAGGCTGCCCCACTCATAAAGACCGGTCCTGTTATGTGTGCCACAGGTACATTAACACACCTGACACGATAAGAGATGCAACATGCATTATTGCACTAGACGGTTTTCATATTTTCCTCTGTGTTGATTTCCCACAGGCAAATGTTGTTCTGCCGTGTGACATTGGGAAAGTCCTTCCTGCAGTTCAGTGCCATGAAGATGGCCCACGCTCCCCCTGGACATCATTCTGTGATCGGCCGTCCCAGTGTCAACGGCCTGGCCTACGCCGAGTATGTGATCTACCGTGGAGAACAGGTACGGCTGTGAAAGAAAAGTTGCTTCTTAAAATACAGCTATAATCAGGTCATATAGTGCTTTATACAATACAGATAGTTTCAAAGCAGCTTCACAGCAATAAACAGGAAAATGATAGAATTAGTAGTGATGCAAACTTCATCAGATATCTCTAAATAGCTCTAAAATAGATTCAGATCAAGCAGGATCCAATGAATTACGTGTTTTTTT